TTAAATTAATTATTTAACTTTCGTTTATTCGAAATAACACTTTAGTGAAGTTAACCCTCGCCATAAACCTTCGACTATTACGTACGTACAAGTATCTCGTTGCATGTTTTAACAGGAAGCAAGTGGAACAAGTCAAAAATAACTCCGCCTAACTCTAACGAAATACCAACGAACTAAGTCACGGATTAAATACACCCGCGATTGCGATAACGTATAAATCGAAATCACCCTCGAAATATATATATATATATATAGATTTACGTATACGTATAAATAAATGTGTATTTTAAATTGAGATGGAAAAATTTCGAACGATATAATCACGTGGGTTAACTCCAACTAACGGCAAACTTTGCCCGCGCAATTTTCAACAAAATGGCGACACGTTCTAACCGATAGAACTTTTTTTCCTCCCCACCCACCCCAGCCCTCCCCTCCCCTCCTTCCACCATTACATTAGCAAATATCTTGTTTTTTAATTATTTTTCTTATTTTATTTTCAACGAAATCAAAAAATTAAACTATTAAATCGTTGCTGTTGTTGTTGTTGTTGTTTTTTTTTTGTGAGAAATTAATTACTTTTCACTAATGGTATTACTAACATATCTCGAACGAAAAAATAAATAACAACGAATAAAATTGTATTGCGGCTTAAAAAACGATGATATTTATCACTCGTAAAAAAATAAAACTTAATTAAGAAAAACAAACAAATAAAAATAAATCACACAAAATGGGATATTATTTCAATAATAACGAGAGAAAGAAAGAAAGAAAGAAAGAAAGAAAAAAAAAAAAGAGAAAAGTAAAGAAATAAATGATATACGAATAATAAATCCGTGATAGAAACGTATCGAACAACAACAATAAAACAAAACAAAAAATATCAGTCCTTTCGAATATATATCATTTCCACAATTGTCGTTGCACCGTGTACATTTGCCCATTTATTTTCACTGTCTCTTTTCAAAAGAGATTATCCATCTCGTATAAAAGAAAAAAAACCGTTTGCCCGATTTCTTTTTTTCCGATTGATATATATATATAAAGAAACAAAAAAGCACACACAAAAGATCGAATTGAAAAAAAAATTGGAAAAAGAAATCCCAATCCTTCGAATCCGATGTAGCAGAGCACACAATGTATCGATTGTTACAATCGATTGTCTTCTTTCTTCAAATTTTCTCATCCACTATGGAAAAATCCTTTATCTCGTGGTAAACGAAAGTTAATAATTAACACTTTTTCTAATATCTCTCTCTTTCTCTCTCTCTCTCTCTCACGCTCTCATTCTCTCATCCACTCTCTCACTCTCTCTTTCTCTCTCGTTTAAATAAAACTTGGAAATATTTCCCAAACTTGGTAGATAATTTGAATAAATTCATTACAAAAAGTAAAAAAAGTAAATAAAGAAAACCTTTTCTTCAATATACCTCTCTCTCTCTCTTTCTCACTCTCACTCTCTCTCTCTTTCTTGTTTTTTTTGTTTTAAACTTAAATCTACGAAACAAAACAATTACTGTAATAAACGTTATCGGAGTTAAACGCGTTATAAATTACGATCAAATAATATAATATTAGGATAATAATAATTTGACACTTGTCGAAGAGACCGGGTAAGAAAAAGAAAAAAAGAAGAAACGGTTGAAAAAATAAGAGAAAAATCAAAACAACAAAAAGAAGAAGAAGAAGAAGAAGAGGAAAAAAAATCCAACGAGGGGTGCGTTCGACAAAAGTGAGTCCGACGAATAAAAAGAACAAAAGAAAAAAAAAAGAAAATTATCGCATATAAAGAAACAAAAAAAGAAGTAGTACTAGTAGTAGAAGAAAAAAAGAAAGATATAACTTGAAATAAAGAAAAAAAAAAAAGAAGAACAACCACACAACTTATAATATGTAATCCCCGGGAGCAAAGAGGAACAATCGACGTTATTCACTTACGTTAAAATGCCGTTCTGTCGGGGAAACGAGCGGGGGCTCCCAATATAAGCGCGTGCAACGTGATCCTAAGCTGTAAGGAGGCACCCGATTGGTAGACGATATTGGCCAATGAAAAAGCGCGTTAGTTACTGGGCCAATCTACCTTTTTAGGTGGAGATGATAGCGAAAGTGTGACAAGGGGGTGGTGGCGGAAAGGTACACTACGTGAGTCCCCACGTACACGGACTCCTGAACAACGTCGGTGCTCGGTTTTGCTCGGGACAACTCGAGTCAGATGAAAATAGATAGAACGTTAGATTCTACTAACTGTTAGATCCGAGATAGGACTCTATGTGTAATATATTTAATATCTCTATGATAATCATTTCCAAAGGGGGGGGGTCGGTGGAATGGGGATCCGTGGGGCTGGAGAGAACAAAATCAGCAACTTCTTTTTTTCCCCTTCCAATTCCTTCCCCTTTTTTTTATATTTTCTCTTTGACATACACTCTAGTCATACATACAAATCATAATTATTCTATTCGTGATGCATCAAATCATCATCCCATTTATTATTATCATCCATTTAATCCCATAAACATCCATGTTTGTTTCTATCTTCCTTAAAACCCCCTACTTCTTACTCCTACCCCTACCCCTTCTCCTCTTCCTCCTCCGACCCGATTGGTCATTACATCTATTCCCCCCCCACCCTCACCCTCACCCTCTTTCTCTCATTTTAAAGATTAAACTTCCTAACCAACATAAGATCTGAAACTCCCGTCTTTGGACGTCATGTTCATGGGCGCTAGACTTCTGCTGCTGCTGTTGTTGCTGCTGGTGGTGGTGGTGGTGGTAGTGGTGATGGTAGTGGTGGTGGTGGTGGTGGTGGTGGTTGTGCTGGTGGTCCATGAACATCGAGGTGTATGTCGCGTTGGAAGGACGCGAATAAAATCAGGAGAAGAGTGTAGGGGGTGGGGTTTGGGGTTAGAGGTTTGCTTGCTTGCTTGCTTAGTCAGGTGGTGGTAATTCCCCCCTTCGAATAACCGAAAGAGAGAGAGAGAGAGAGAGAGAGATAGAGATAGATACGATCCATCCATTGCACCAACAAACGTCTACTTCTCTTCGAGTCCACGTGGAAGATGCACGTGGCCATACAAGATAGATCGATGATGATAACAGCTGCGAAATGGTTCATAACCTTATTTCTATATTCTCCGCCATCTTTCTTTTTTTTCTCTCTCTCTCTCTCTCTCTTTTGAAAACTTATCGAATTATCTTCTCCGGGCTCCCCCGCCCCGCCCCCCCCCAGTCACACAGACCCTCCCATCCCTCCTGGACCCCTTCTTTTCCGTCATCTGGTTTGAATCCAACCCACACGTATATCAATTTGAACTTTTTGAGTGGTATATAAACGTATATATGCGTTTGGTAAAAATTGATACGCGTTGGTTTATCAATGTTACATGTAAAATAATGTAATATTTTTCGGTTGTATTTATATTGTCTCAAATGAAAATAATATTGTTAGAAAAAGAAAGATAGTCATTATATTAGATATAATTTATTAATATTAGTATATGGTGGTTATAGATTGTTAATAAATTATTTCATTCGTAGAGAAAACACACTTCAGTTATAAAAATGTTCAACATTCAAAGAGGTTAATTTTATTCCATATTTACGGATTATTTTCAAGTATTTCGTGTTTCTTTTTCGTCGTTATGCGTTTTATCGTAATGCATTGTTTTGAATATTTTTTTTTTTCTTTTGTTAAAACAAACGTTAGGGACATTAAATTATTACACTTTAATCGCTAATTTGTTATATTTTCATTGTTTTTAATTGTTTATTACTTTTTGCATCGTGAAATTCGTGCAAACTCATGAGATGTGTATTTTAAAGTGATGCACAAATTCTGTTATATTATATTACGGGTGGAAATTAATTTTTTTATGGCTTTTTTTCTTTTCTTTTTTTTTTTTTTAAAATAACACATAAAAAGAGTTATTTTATTTATTTTTAGAAATGAATCACGTATACGGGTATGCGTTATTTTATCGTATATTATTTCTCGATCACTTTGATCAATCTTTTCGAATTCACAACCTAATATTTTTTATTTCTTATTCTATGATAATTTTTCTCTTTATTTGTTTTCTTATGAATGTTTATTTAAACAAACGATATATATATATATATATAACGTTTGTCAAGTTTTAGATTTGGAATGAAAAAAAAGAAAAAAGATACGTGAAATATTTAAACGTATTTGAAATGAAACAAATCATTTGAAGTTATAAAATGATTATCATTGTAAATAAATTGTATCATTTGTCAATAAGAATGTTGGCAATGTTGCATAAAATATATATAACACTCGATATATATATATATATTTTTTTTTTTCTTAATTTGTACACGTTGTAAAATAACATTGATTG